AATGGATGGATGGATGGATGGATGGATGGGTGGGTGGGTGGGCGGATGGATGGATGGATAGAAACACATACCTTAGAAGGATAAACAGGCCAATATGTCATGTCACTGTGTGGTTCCATTGTGTAAGCCTTGTCTTCAACAGAGGATATGAACGTACTTTTGGCTTTACCATAATTTGGTTTTACCGTGGTTCCGCCTTCGTATCCAATGGCAGTATAACCCAAGGCATTTGAAAACAACGTGAAATGTTCTTCATTAGACAGAGGAAGTCCTCGAAAGAACACCACACCATACTTTGGTAACTGTTCATCGAGCAGCTTTCTGCAGTGTTGAGCCCACTCACTTATAGAAAACTGGTCAGCATGCTGTATCTTGTACGCTTGTGGAAGACCTTGTCGAGGGTTTGCTAGGAACTCTGGGAATTCCTTACAGTCAGAGTCAGGAAGATATTTGATCCCTGCTAAACGGTACTTTTTCTTTGAAGCCAGTTCACAAGGGTCGAGTGGTGAGAAAAGTTCATCTTGAGGAGATGTTTGAAAGGCTTGATAGGATCTACAGCATAAAAGAGTGATTGGCAGGTCAATATCACTGAAAAGTAGGGTGAGTATAGCAGTATGCACTTCACTACTCCCTCCACAAGCAGCCCAAACAAAGTTAAAAGGAAATGTAATTGGAGCCTTTTAAACGAAAATACAGCTACGCCAAAACGGGTCTCTAGCTAAGGACAAGACAAACAAAGCAATAGTTGGGTGGAAAATTCTCAAATTTTCCAAAACGTTTTGTCATTTTGTAGAGAATCAAGATTCTTTGTTAGCTTATAATTGAGTCATAGTCATTAGGGCATCTTGCACCATTTGCAAGTTATACTTAGGGACTGGTCATAAAGTAAAGGAGGGTATATATGGGTATGAAAACAAGTTGTGTCTCACACAAATTTGAACTTCTTAAAAGGGGTGGACGGTCTATAATACTGTACATATAATACTGTAGATTTTTCATTTCATGAATGGAAACTTAGGGGGAAGGCCATAAAACATTTTCGAACTCGTTTTATACTATGCAAACAAAAAAAAGAGCTCCTTCAAATTCAGTCCTTTAGGATCGGCATCCAAACAATCAAACCTAACAAAAGAGGTGCTTTACTATGGGACAATCAAAACGTGGATTCCAAACGCGGTATTACTGTATCCATATTCAGGTGTTTTAACATGCGTAACTTAAAGTGCTACTCTGACGAAAATCGCTCAAACTTGGATTCAGCTGATACTTCCTAAGAATACTCTTTAAAGGTCCAATAATCACTGTATGAAGTGTTTTCTCGATATTCAGGACGAAAGTATGATATTTTTACGATTATTTTTTGGAGTCTGTGACGTCATACACTCAACATCGAACATCGCTCCATACGTTTCTTTGTATATAAATCCTTAATTTATTTTATTCCTATGAAGCCGAAAGGGTGGCTAATGTGCTTATTTCACATTACTTGTGACTATAATTTATATTTTGGGGTGTTTGGGTATTTCTTTCTCCYTTTACTACTGATATTTTGATCATAAACTACAAAGAAATGTATGGAGCGAATCATGTATCTGGTGTATAATTCCTTTATATTTTGGTAATAGCTTGGCAAATTTGTTATAGTAAGGTTGATTACAGTAGAAAGCGTTTCGGATCAACTTTCGTCATTTGTTTGTATCTAATAAGATTGCTGAAACAATATACACGTTTTTATTTTTATTTTTTTATTTATAAGTCACGTTCAGTTTTTTGTTTATGAGAAGTCACCCTTCTATAATGTTGCAAGATAGTTCTGTGGAAAAATGTTGTGTTCAAATAGTCCAGTTACAGTTCTTTCTTTATAAAATTGAACACAGTATATGATAATTTGCAATAACTACAAAACATTAAGCAAGATATATAGGTAAATGTTCTGTTATACTGAACAAATGAAAATAGTTATGCCTTGAGTTCAAAATGTTTCTGTGTCCTAAGATGTGGAAATTTGTTGAAATTTGTTGAAATAAAATCAAGTAGTAATGTCTATATTCTTGGCTTTGTGATTTGATATACAAAACTCCTTTTATTCATTCATTCTGTTTATGACATACAAAAATATGAGAATGTATTATACAATTATCCTCTTATTCTACCAATCATTTCTACACTCTTACAAGCAAATTAATTCTATTGCACCCGACCGTTTTAAAACTTGGTGGAGTTTGCTCACTCTTAGTAAAGAGGATTGACCGACACTAACTGAAAGTAGTAGTCAGAA